TGGCCCCAGAGGCACATGGACCTAATTCAGAACTCAGTGGATTTTGGCAGAAATCTCTCCAGACTTAATTAGTAAAATATCAGAAATTCAAAATTGCGAGGTCACGACATCATATGGTCTTCATAACCAGCAATAGAAAACAAATTATTTCATGATGCCTTTTCAGCAGGTTTGATTGTTGGGAGAAAATTCCAAATAAAAATAGTTCATCTTTTGTTGAAATAATGATTGTAATCAAAGTAGGGAGAGAGAGAGTTAAGTGGAAATCTCTGCCTCACAGGCATGGGGAGGAGTGTCATGGGGGGTATATTGGGGTTCCTGGTGGTGGAAAATATGCACTGGTGAAGGGATGGGTGTTTGATCATTGTATAACTGAGACTTATACCTGAAAGCTTTGTAACTGTTATCATGGAGATTCAATAAATAAATTTTAAAAAAATAGTTTGGATTTTCCCAGTGTAGCTTGGCTCATGACTCCTGCTGGGGTTATTTAGGGGTAGTAGAAACACACGGTTGTGGATGTGGGGTCTGGAATGCTGGGGAACAAATTCAGGGCTTTGCACGTACCAGGCCTATGTTCTACTCAGTCTCTTAGGCAAGACACTATTTAAAGACTACGTAGAAAACCCAATTTAAGAGACTGTAAACAGACTTATTGGCTGACATTCCATGAAATCAAAAGGAAAATAAGGCAATGGTATAAAAATCAATTTGATGATATCAGAGAAACAGATTTTTTTGCACTTTACTTTGTACATGTACATGTTTTGTACTAGATTGTATTTTTCAAGGTTGAAAGATGGCTCCCAGTAGCCTTAAGGCTGTATGAGACCTTGTTTAAATATGAGCTATTTGTAGATTTCCATGATTTCTTTATAAGAATAACCTTACTGAAGGTTACTGTCAAGTTGCCTGACTTTTTATGAGTAAAAATTGAGTAATATTATTATTCCTTAACCAATGAGTGACAAGAAGAAGATATTATCATTAGACTAATCAGAGCAGTCAAAAAGAAATCAACTGTTCTTCAGGCCAATGAACTATTTAGGAAACTAATTGATAAGTCACCATAATTAGGGATCTACTAGGAGATATGTGGGAAGATTGCTCATTCATTATTTTTAAAAAAACACTTTTATTGTGGTATAAAAATATTGAAGAATAGAGATTCAAACAAAATGGCTTCTTGAAGAGCAATGTAGCAATCACAAAGAGTAATAACCAATGTAGTAAAAATAGAATGAATGAATGAATGAATGAACAGAAAAAGCATAAATCTTTTAAAGGAAATGAAAGAAAAGAATAGAAAAGTGCAAAATCAGGGAACTCAAGAGAAAGCAGAAATTTATAGAGATGTATATATAGAAGAGATTTATATAGAATGTCAAACATTGGAAGCTTAGGTTTGGGCAGTAAGTTTACTTGAAATGGACCTGTACCTCCAAGTATTTATCAAAACAGTAAAGGCTAATTTGGCACCAAACAGGATAGAATTCATAACCCATCACACCTATTCACTATATTAACTGTATTTTCAGAATTTTGGTTTTGCTAGTGGCAAATAATAATATTTTTCATCCTCATTCATTACCAATTATTTTTGTGTGTCTGTTTACTTTTAATGTGAACAAACACATAATTATGTATCATAAATTCAAAATATAAAATCGTGATAAATGTTTCTAAATGATGGAGGGTTTTTTGATGATTAAATGTGATGTTTATAAAGAATTCAGCTATGCTTCGAGGAGACTGGAGTGCCAAAATACCAATAACTATGATTTTGTCATCAAGACTGAGGAATTCTTGGCTTTGATGATGAGAGCACCCTGGGTAACCTTTGGCAGCAGATTCACTGCAATATAATGAATAGCATGCACACATACACAAATTCAGAGGATGGATGAGATATGGTAAGGAATTTTTGCTATGAAATAAAATGAATGAGTGCCAAATACTCGGGGCAGGGCAAATGTGTCTACACTTCAGTGTCTGTTTCTATTTGGAACAGAGAAGCTGGGATTAAAGATCATAAAATAGGGGCCATAGCAATAATATAACTGGTTTAGCATTTGCCCTGCAGCTACCAGTCTGGGTCTGGCCAAGCTGGGTTCAATCCCCAACATCTCATATGGTCCCCTGAGTAATGCCAGGAGTAACCCCGGAGCATCACCTGTTGTGACCCCAAACAAACAAAAAGATCGTAAAATAATATCATCCTAATTACCTGTATTAACCAGATCTATGCAAATAGGTCAGTATTTTCCTTTCCAGTATGATGGTTTTTGATTAGATTTTATGAAAAAGTATATTTTCTCTACTGGAGTCATTTTTCCCAGGGATTGATCCTAATTGGTCACAACACTGAAAGAATTCCTTCCTGAGTGCCTGAAATCTAATCCAAAAACTAATGAAAATTGGTATTGTACAGACATGGATTATATAGAGAAATTGAATGGATGCAAAATGCCAGCATCGTGTCTGCTTTTAAGGAAATTACAGCTGGTGGTAATCTGGACATTATTTGTCTTAAAATACAACCCCAAAAATGAAGAGGGGAGAAGAGAGACGCCAGGAAGGGTTCTGGACTCTGAAGTATTCAGGTAGCACCTGGGTCTTGTAAACCAGCTATAAATGCTATACTACCAACAAAAGCACATGAGTCTTAAGAGCATTTAAAATCCAGATGATGGGGGGGGCTGGATAAATAGTCTAGTGGGTAGGGTGCTTGCCTTGCATCAGTCCAACCTGGGTTCAATCCCCAGTATCCCATAAGATCCCCAAGCACTGCCAGGAATAATTCCTGAGCATCACTGGATATGACCCAAAAACTGAAAAGGAAAAAAAATATCAGATGATAGAGGCATGGGGGAAATGGAAGAGATAAATTTAGGGAGAAGATAAAGTGAAATTTTCCTGCCCAAGTGACTGGACTAATAGGCCAAAGCAGCACCTGTTAAAGATTCTAGAAACACCTGACTTACAGCTGGTCCACATTTTCTTTATATTTCAGAGGCCTGGCTGGCTTTCATCAAATAAGCTAGAGCTCATTTCAATAGAGAAGCCTCTTGGATTTTACTTTCACAGACTTGGCAGTATTCAGTGACTAGAAGTCTTTGGGAAATGAAATAATCAGACAGAACATAGCAGGTATGACTCTTGCCTTGCAAACACCCTACCCAAGTTTGATTCCAGAACCCATATAGTCCCTGAGTCTACCAGTAGTGATCCTTGAGTGCAGAGCCAGGAATAAACCCTGAGCATCACCCAGAAATGCACCCCGACTCCACCACTCCCTTCAATGAAATACTTTTGTTATTTGCAGAGCCGTAAGACTCAATGTCCCTATATTCAACAGTAGCAGAGAGTATATACTCAGAATTTGGCTCATCTTGGTAAAGAATATGTTAAAGGGTTGGGAAAAATTTATTCACACAAATGAACAACATACAGATTTTTTTGTTTATTTTTTTGTTTTGGGTTTGAGGACTGGGCCACACCCAGAGTGCTCAGTAGCTGTTCCTGACTCTGTGTTTTAGCATTGACCCCAGGCAGCGATCAGGGCACTATATGTGGTGCTGGTGACTTCAACTAGGGTTGACTTTAAGCAAGGCAAGCACCTTGGTTCCTATATTATTATTATTATTTCATCATCATCATCATTATTATTATTATTGTTATTTTGCTTTTTGGGTCACACCTGGCATTCCACAGGGGTTACTCCTGGCTCATGCACTCAGGAATCACTCCTGGCGGTGCTTGGGGAACCATATGGGATGCTGGGAATTGAACCCGGGTCAGCCGAGTGCAAGGCAAATGCCCTACCTGCTGTGCTAGTGCTCCAGCCCCCCTATATTATTTTTCTGGCCCATAAATTCTATTTTTAAAGCCAATTTGCTTGTGCATCGGACACTTGTATGACTAAAATGTACAGTAAATTCCTATTTTAAAATACTTGGCTAGTTCCAAATGCAAATCTAAGAAGCTCAAGAGTCAGACTTTAGAATATCAAATTCAAGAACTTCAGTCTTCTGTAAATGGCATTTTCAGACTAACTGCCAGACGGTACATCGTGCAAACTTCTAGGAAGCACTTGCCCTTCCCAAACCCTTGGAAAAGATTTGGGTTGACAATCATGAATGAGCAACATTTCCAGCTGTGCCTGCGTTTGCCACCGGAAAATTTCAACTTCAAACTGTCATTATCATATAGACTTAACATTTCCGTTTCCCAAGCTGCAAATTATTTCCCAAATATCTCTTGTTTTAGAAAAATCGTCTCTGGGCAGATTTTGCTTTTGTGGCGCACTTCATACAATATCTTAGTCCTTCAAATCTAGGTAATTCCTTACTTAGATCCGATTGACAGTAAGATTGGCAGTAAGGTTTAAAAACTCACTGCAGACGTTAAATATTTGACTCTGTGGGCAATTTAATTATACAGGTTTAAGACTAAGCAAGGCTGATAGATTCCAAACGTCTTTATCAACAACAACAACAAAAATCTCTATCGATCAAAACTATTTGCAAGGTGTTCTTTCTTTTCTTCTTCACTCCCCACCTCCAACCCTTATTCCTCAGGGGCTCCAGTGCAAGTTTTCTCTCCGTTCCAGAAATCGACCTTCTTGAATTCTCACCCTCTGTCTCGTTCTCTCAAATCAGGAAGAGAAGCCACCAGCTGAAGGCCCTGCTAGGGCCGTGGGGGCAAGCGGAGCATGCTCAGTAGCTGGGGTGGCTGGCTGAGCTCACAGCAGGTTTTGGCTTGCACCAAACAGATTAGCACTCGGCTCCGGAGGAGGTCGTGTTTGTGCCCTAGAAGATCCTTAATTCCTGGAAAGCTGATCCCTGCCCAGTACGAGCGAGCGGTTTTAGCATCCTCAACTGCAGCCGCTCAGCTGCGGACTCCCCAGAAATCCACCAGCCCGACCCGCTCTCCACTTCATCCTCCTAGAGCTTGGGGCTGGGGCTGATACCAGCTGCTGGATGATTGAGCAGAAACGACAAGCTTGTTGTGGTTAACCGTGAAGGGTGAGGGAGTTCTGAGCCAGAAAGAGGAGGTGTGTTACGGAAGGAAGTGGCCCGGGAAGACTCCTGCAGGAGCTCAGATTAGTCTTCTTTACTTCTGGTTACCATGGCATTATCTGCTCTAGACCTGGGAGAGATGGTCACGGTAGTAGCGAAGCTGGTGCATTGCTTTCACCTCCGGTAAGGAGAGCACCTTTGCATGCTTTTTTCTCTTTGCAATGCTTTGATTAGCTCTGAAATCCACAGTCCGAAAGGTCTTGAAAGGACCCATCGTGTTCTCCCCTTAGAAGTTTGTTTTTAAGGAAAACTTGGGAGGGTCGGCGTGGGGAAGGACTTTGGGGGTACTTCCAAATCGTCAGGTTCAACTTTAAGCGCTCTGGTCTTTAACCTCTTTCTTGACCCTGTTCCTCTCTTGCGGTTTGAAGTTTGTTATTTCGAAAGATGGGGCTAGACAGTTTTTTTTTCTTTTCTTTTAAGGACTCCAGAGATATAGGGAATTGTACTTCATGCTATATACGTAAATGGATACCATTAATTAAGATCTTTTTCAGAAGATGACAATCGCCTTTGTAGACAAGAAAGATTATTAAAATTTAGCACCAGCCTTTGTTAGCCTTGAACTTCAGTTGACCAGAGGAAAATATTCATACTACAGATTTCTGGTTATTTGTAAAAAGTAATATCAATGCCCAGGGCTTCTTTTTAAGGCACAATTTTCCAACAATGTAGAGACAGATTTAAAAATTATATTTTAAGGTGTTGCATAAGATAGCTTCTCACAGAAGCGTAAGGTTAAAAGAGGAAATATTTTCATGTAGCTTTGTGGTTGCACATTAATATTTTTGATGGAAACTTAAGCCAACATCTTCATTTGAGTTGGATGATGAGGTGAATAAAAGCTAAGAAAAATGAGAGACCTTTGGACTATACAACAAAGACATTCAAATAAATGTATTTAACTTTGAACTGCCAATGAAAAACTATCTACGATGTAGGGAATACAATAACAGTCTTAGATTACTAATAATTTGGCTGGAAATTGAAGCAATCATTTTCTTAAATAAATCCCTAGTAAATAAGGCTGTCATGGGTCTACTACCTGTGTAGCGAACATTAGCAAATTAAAATCAAACTGGGCAGAGAAAAGTGTGTTCTTCCTATTTTGATATTAGATGTTTAAATGTCCTGTTTACTATGAAGAGAAACATCTAGACATTTAAAAATTACTAAACATTTTTTCTCTGAGTCAGCATACAACTTTTTCTTATAAGAACAAAACAAATCTAAATCTTATAATGAAGAAAATATCCCAAAGAAATACTTGACAGGGGGATTAAATACTTGAATGAGAAATCAAGGTTGGCATTTCTGCACAGATTATTGCTTTTCAAGCCTGCTTTCAGATATGATTTAGTGGTTTGGATGCATTCCCTCATGGGTTTATTTAACTAAGAACACGTGAAGAGCCACAAGTGAAAAGAAAGAGTGTGAGGGAGCTAACTATTTCTATTGCAAGTTTATTCTGTAGGGACTAGAACCCAAAAGCATTCAGTCACCAGGCTTTAAAGAAAGGACAAGTTTCTTAAATTCTCTTTCTGGCCTAGAAAATTAGAGATACATATGTCTTCCTCCCGTTTTGGGGAGGAAGCTCTATACACTGGAAGCACCCCAACTTCCGAACTCCCAGCTAACTTGTGGCAAGACAAAAGCTTCTCAGAGAACTCGCAATAGATTAACCACTGACTCTTACCTGTTCTCAGCTGAGCATCCAGGTTTCCAGTCCAAATCCCCTTGCACAATTAACATAAAAAGCACTTTTTAAAGAATATTCCCAATGACCCAGGATTTTCTGGAAGAAAATGTCTTCTAAAGAAATTTCCTGGCTTCTGCTTGTTCTTCTCTGGGTTTCTGGGGGGTGCTCCTTCTGCTCACTGCCTCCCCTGCCATTCATAATACTGATCAATTAAAAAAGTTTAATGGTAAGAACACAGAATCAACAATCATCCAGAATAGAGTTTCAATGCTCAAAGAAGGTTTAAAAATTTTTATTTCCATATTTGTATATTGCAATGTAGGTAGAGAGCTTTGTTCTTTCTCTCCAACCTCAGACAATTATGACATGATGAAAGTAAATCCAGTGCAAGTCATTCTGTTTCCCCCTTTTTTTTTGGAGAGGTGGGGGCAAAACTGTTGGTGGCATCAATCCAACCTCTGCTAACTTGTCTCTTCATTATCAAGAGAAAATAAGTGGGATTTTATAAACTATTTTAGAGTGTGTTGGTTTATGAAACAAATGCTTGAAATATAATGAATTTCATCTTCTCTTTTTATAATCAAATAGTGTCAGAACATCAGTCTTACCCAGGGTGTTTTTGTCACTTTTTCTTTCTAATGAAATAAATGATTATAAAAAGTAGAGGATAACATATATTTATAGTTTCTTAATAGAAATTATTAATATATTTTATCCTCTACTCTTTTTGATATAGATTAAACCACTATTTAGGATTGGAATATGGATCAGCTATAATTTGTTAATTCTCAAAATGTAGACCTGGATATAACTAAAGTAATTCCAACAGTGGAGTAACATGACCAGGAAAAATTAAGTAACTGTACCTCATGGTGTCTCACTAATAAAAATTTAAAAATTTTTTTTAAAAATTTCAGGTGAATTATTTTATTTTTATTTTTAAAAAATTTTTAAAAATATTGTACTTTCTTAGCTGTCACTCAATCAGATTTTTATAGGAACCAAAATGAACTCATCAACTATATTTGTGTAGCATTATTGTTGTTGCTAATTACCTTTGATTTAATCCATGAATTTTCCAATAAGACAAATCTTAGCCTTGGCTTTAGCAACTTAAGGGAGCAATAATTGTACCAATATAGAACTAGAAATACTCAAACATTATCTGGAGTTTAGGAAAAAAGCCAGAAATATTAAGCTAGTTTTAGAGTTGATGTCCAAAATTCCAGGGATTCTGTGCCTTCCACAAGGTCATAGTTAGCTTTCAGCTCAGCTCAAAATTTCTGAGATTGCTACTATTATAATTGAACTCAAGAATACAGAGGTATTTGGAGGTTTAAGGATAAGTCCAGAATTGTTTCTTTGTGACATTCTTTTCTGCCAAATTGCTTAGCCATGGAATAACTGTAGGTTATGATTGACATTCCCAAAGTTCAAGAACAGTTGGAATTTAAGTATCTACATATCTAGGAACAAATCAATGTCTATTTACTTCCTTTTTATGAATCCTTAATTTATGTACATTATTGTGTTTAAATGTCTTGTTTGTATCTGCTTTTTTAAAATATAAAGCCGCTTCAGATTTATTCTGATGAATCTATTTAGAAACCTTTATTTCCAGGAAGTATCCTGATAAGAGCATCCCAAAAAAATAAGTAAATAAAACATAATTCAGTCCATGTCTTTTCCTTCTACTTCAGTGCATCGTATAAACTGCAATAGTGGAAATGCTTGAGAAAGAAAATTAGAAATCTCAATCATTTCAAGTAATCATAAAATAAAGTTGAAGGCCATGTTCAGATAAAATCTTAGCTGATGACATTTTTCATCTTCCCACTTACCAGAAATTTATTGAGCACTGAATGATGAGTTTTGCTTTTATATTCAGGGCAGACCTTTGCACAAGACTGATGTTATTCTTGCTCAGAAGGGACTTATGTTACAGTGCAGTGGAGAAGATAGTGGTTTGCATGTGGAAGGAAATCATGCTATGAAGAGCAGAGATAATAGTGTGTAACTTCAGAATAGGGAGCTCATCTCTAAAAAAGAAGACATTAAATCTCGGGGTAAAATCTCGGGGAGTTTAGCCTTGATCATAATCTACAATGTGGGTTGTTGTAGTGATATATAAAGCAGTATGGCCAGGAGGGAGAAAGGTTTTAGGGCCAGTGGAAGGTGGAGAAGTAGGGATTTCTTAGGAGGGTGGAGAAAGTTAGAGAGCCAGCCAGACCCAAGCCCAAGGTCTCCCAGAGACTAAACCTTTTTTTTTAGTGTAGTAATATTTCAAACTTTAATAAGAATGTAAAGTTTAAATAAAACTAATAGTCACACTAATTCACAAACACAATAGAAAAAAATAAAATATATCAATGAATTAAATCCAAAAATGTTTAAGAACAATGACATATCACCACAAAACAATTCTTCTATAATTCAAGTGTAATTAAATCTTCAAAATCTTCTGGGGCTGGAGCAATAGCACAGCAGGTAGAGCGTTTGCCTTGCACACAGCCAACCCAAGTTCGATTCCCAGCATCCCATATGGTCTCCCAAGCACTGCCAAGAGTTATTCCTGAGTGAAAAGCCAGGAGTAAACCCTGAGCATCACTGGTGTGACCCAAAAAGCAAAAAAAAAAAAAAAAAATCTCCTTCACATAGATATATTTATTCTTTTTTTTTAATTTTATTGAATCACGGTGAGATAGTTACAAGCTTTCATGTTTGGGTTACAATCACACAATGATCAACACTCCACCAGTGCACATTCCCCACCACCAATATCCCTGGTATACCACCCCCCTTTCCGACCTTCCCCATACCTCCATGGCAGACAATATTCCCCATACTCTCTACTTTTGAGCATTATGGTTTGCAATACAAAAACACTGAGAGGTTATCATGTTTGGTCCTTTATCTACTTTCTGCACATATCTCCCATCCCGACCGGTTCCTCAAGCCATCATTTTTTTTAGTGATCCCTTCTCTCTTCCAGCTGCCTTCTCCCCTTTGCTCATGAGGCAGGCTTCCGTATGACCCTGCAATACCACTTCTCGAAATATATCCCGAGAATGCAAAAAAGCACAGTAGAAATGACATCTGTACCTATATGTTCATTGCAGCTCTCTTCACAATAGCCAAAATCTGGAAACAACCCAAGTGCCCTAGAACAGATGACTGGTTAAAGAAATTTCTGCACATCTACACAATGGAATGTAACACTGTAGCTACTGTCCTCTGCTCCAATGGCCCAGCTGGAGCTATTGTGCAGCAGGTAGGGCGTTTGCCTTGCACAGGGCTGATCAAATTTCGATTCATCAGCCCCTCTCGGAGAGCCCAGCAAGCTACCAAGAGCATATCATCCACACGGCAAAGCCTGGCAAGCTACCTATGATGTATTTGACATGCCAAAAACAGTAACATGTTTCAC